GAGCAGCCCGTGGCGGCATTCAAGGCAATGGCATTGGGGGGCCCAACACACAAGGCCCCACAGTCTGGAACCTCATCTCCCCAGTAAGGGGAACTCATTGATTCACGTTTCCCAAGTGCACGGAGCCCTTTCACATCTCTGTTCCGTGATGTGGCTCGCTATTCTGGAGCACACTCCGTGCACTCATGTAGCCCTTGCAACAGTACCGGATGCTCCTATTATTGGCCAACACCGTAGCTCAGAGACACGGCCTCTTCATTCACTCCCTGCACCCCACGACAGGCCGAGCGCTGTGCCGGGTGCGTGTTCTTGCGGAGCTGGCTCGCCAGTACAGGGTCAGTGCACCTCACCCCGCAAGGCAGTGTGCAGAGACTGCGACTGTCGTGTGCACAACACGTGGGTCCAAGAACAAGCGGGCATGTGAGGGCCCCGGGCGAGCTCCATCCCATCATCTTTCAAACCTTCCTGACCACCTGGGATGCTGCTCACTTACATGGCACCTTTGTGCAAAGTAGAAAAAGGTACTTCCTCTGGGTGGACAAATGAGCAGAAAGTAGCCCCTCTGGGCGGTCGCAGCCTCGTGGGTGAACCGCCTGGTGAGCCCATGGTGCCCCCCAACCCCCTCTACCAAGCATCTTTGCACTGTGCACTCCTTCCCCTAAACAGAGCAGGGCCCCCGGGGGCGGCTCTGTGGCGATGTGTAACTGGTTCCCCTCCAAGCCGGCAGAGCACAACCCAGAGGCCCTGTGAGTCTTGTCGCAGGGTGGAGGTTCCCAGCCCCCGGACCAGCAGGTGCCTCAGCCCGTGCTGCCGCCTCACAGAGAGCTTCCTCCATAAAGCATCGGGGTCTTTAGTGTTCTTCAGTCGCTGAAAGAAGCAGGATGCTGTCAGCTGCCGTAAAAATGTGACCTTTGAAAATTTACAAGAGCTCGGGGTTTAAAAGCTGCTGCGTTAATGATGCATCCTATTAGCATCTCATTAGAGGGAAGCAGAGAGAAGCCTGCCCAGCCCGGTGATGGGCAGACAGGGCCACTCCGCAGCACCAGGCAGGAGGAGGGCTCTCCTCGTCTGCCTCTCTCTGCCCAGTGTCATCATATCAGGGAGCAGAAGCATGGCCAGGAACACTGGCAAAAGGCCAGATAGATGTCTGGGTGGCTTCGCTGATAACCCAGATTATGCAGTGGGAGGGGGCTCCCTCAGCCCTGCCTTCCTCCCCTGGCCTGGGCTGTTCTCCTGGGGGCAGGGGGAGTTCTGTGGCATTCTTGTGCTGGCAACCCCCTGGCAAGAAGGGGGACTTGGGCGGCCTGTTCAGGGTGGGAGAGACCTGGAAAGCCTTTAGTGGAGTCACAGACCTTTGGGGACTCTGGACCAAGGGAGAAAGTCTTAACAGGAGCTGACTTCAGAACTGGAGCCATGGACCCGCACACGATGCCCCAGAAGCCTCTAGAATTTGGGGACTATGTGTTTACTTTGGGCCTGGAGCCCCTTGCGGGAGGAAGGACTCTGGCCTGGCCAAGCTGACTCACATCCCCGGCTACAACATTGCTCCCTGACCTGGGCGCCCAGGCGCCTGGCAAAGTGCACAAGCGTGTCCAGTTTTTTTCTGGAGGGAGTAGAGAAAGGAATGTTCATTTCATTGTTTTAAAGAAATAAATAGAAATTTCTGAGCTGTGACTTGCTCATAGCTTCAGAAGTTGCTTGGGCCGATTAGAATGAGTGGCCTTATTTATCTTTCTTGAAGGAAAAAGAGAGACCCTGTTTTCCTTCTCACAGCAGAATGGCTTTCTTGTACATAAGAATTTGCTTGTACTATTCATGACAGACACAGCAGGCCTGTTGGGGCTTCACCCAGTTATCTGCCCCCACCCTGCCACTCGGGGCGCCCCCCTGCACCCGGCTTCCTTCTGGAGGCTAACGGGGGCAGTTTGCACAGCTGAGGGCTGCGCTCCCCAGGCAGCAGCCTCCTGAGGGCAGGGCTGAGCCTCAGTCATCATGTCCCCTGGGACCTGGGGCTGGGCCTGGCAGGAAGCAGGGGCTGAGTGTCAGTCATCTCGTCCCCCGGGCCTTGGGCGAGCACCGAGCAGCAGCCCAGTGCTTGTTTACTGAACACACCAACTAACCAGCAAATGCACAAGTGAACGACCTGGCAGGAGTGTCTTAGAGCCAAGGGACTAAGCCCTTGAAAAAGTGTGCGGTTTTTCAAGTCCAGGACCCCACCCCCAATTTTAGGGCAGAAACAGGAACTCCTGAAGTTTTAGAGTTCAGAATCTGGTTACCCACTCTGGAGGAGAAGACCCCCACCCCGTCTCCCAGTGGCAATGTCTGATGTAAGGGCCCCGGACGAGAGCCTCCAAGTTTCCAGAGCCCTTCCCTACCCTGTCAAAGCACCAGGTTGGGGCACGGATTCTGATTCTGCAGGGAAGAAATGGCAAGGGTGGGAGGACCCTGGAAACCACACCTACCTCTGGCCTGTGAAGCCTCCAGGAAGCACATCCCTTGCCCACCTGCCAGGGTGCAGCAGAGAGGGGCTGCAGCGCCCCCTACTGGCAGGTCGGGTCTCTGCACTGTCAGTGAAGGAGGGTGCCCTAGGAGGCTGGAGTGTCACCACTCAAACTTCACCCCCACCCAGGGCCCTGAATAGGACAAGGCACAGGCTCCTTCCCTTTCGGATGCCGCCGGTTACGGAAAGCCACCTCTGCACCTCTGAGCCCCCTAGCACCCAGGGGAACCTGGGAATGCAGAGGAGGCTTGCAGACAGGGCACACTGGAAAGCTGTTTAGAGAAGCCACACTTCTGTTCCATGAGTTCCTGATGGGTGAGTGTGGCTAAATCCCCAGCCTCCGCCACAACACCCTTCCCCCCCTGCACCCCCACCCCACCATCACAGCCAACCCCAACCAAGCTCCCATCTGTCCCACAGACAAAAATGGGGCAGGGGCCTCTGAGAAGGAATCTTGTCCATTGAATTGTTCTTTCCTCAGGAGATTCACTCTTTCCCTTTGTTTCCTGCTCTGTTCACAGAAGCAAAGCTTTTGAAATGCAGGCCAGAGATAAAGTGCAGCCTAATGCAATTAGCTCAGTGCAGCCTACAGGTCCTAATGGGATACGGCTCCTCCCAGCCCCAAGCAGGTGCTGTTTGTCATAGGCATTGTGCATCAAAGACCCAATAAGTGCTGTCAGCCATGGCCATCCCCTCCATCCACCCGTGCCGGCTGTTCCAGCTGCTCAGAGAGGCCCAGTGAGGGCGATGCCCCTCCCCCCCTCCCCCCCCACCGCTGGGACACTGGGTCAGCCTCTGTTAGAAGTCACGAAGACCACGGCCTTCCCCAAAGAGAAGCCCACAGATGCCCCTTGTGGCCTCTTGGAGCTTCTGTGACTGTTCCTGGTGGACAGCTATCTCTGCCCCCCACCCCACCACATCCTTCACCCCAAACCTGGTTGGGCTCTGGCTGCACTCCTGGGAACTGCAGAAATTTCCAGAAACCACCTCTGCTGAGACTCACACCCCCCCACACACACCCCAGTTATCCCAGTCCCAGGCTTTCCAACTTGCTTTTGGATTTCTTCCCCTCCTCCCCCTCCTGCACCCCCTTCCCCTCCTCCACCTCACCCTCCTGCTCCTCCCTCTCCTCCTCCCCTCCTGCTCCTCTTTCCCCTCCTCCTCCTTCTCTTCCTTCTCCCACTCCTCCCCTCCTGCTCCTTCTGCGCGTCCTCCTCCTCCTCCCCCTCCCCCTTCCCCTCCCCCTACTCCCCCTCCCCCTTTCCTCCATCTCCTCCCCCTTTTGCTCTTCCTCTTCCTCCTCCTCCTCCTCTTTCTCTTCCTTCTTCTCCTCCTCCTCCTTCTTCTCCTTCTTCTTGTCCTCCTTCCCCTCCTACCCCTCCTCCCTGTCACCCTCCCCCTCTTCCCCTCTCCCTTCTCCCCTTCCTCCCCTTCTCCTCCCCCTCTCCTCCTCCTTCTTCCCCCCCTCCTCCCCCTCCCTCTTCTCCTTTTTCCTCCAACTTCCCCCCTCCCTCCTCCTCCTGCTCTTGCTCCTCCTCCTCCTCCTTCTTCTTTTCTGGCTTATTACAATGGCCATGGCCCTGGTAGAAAATTTGGCAAATACAGAAAGGTATAGACAAGAGAATAGAAGTTACCTATGTTCCTGTCACCAAGAATAACACCCCTGCTAACATTTTGTTTTTTTCTCTCCTGCACATATTGCTTTACATATGAGCTTATATTTGTGTCACTTTATGTCCTGCTTTTCTCATTTAACATGATAGTGTAAGCATTTTGCCATCTCATTATGCATTTTAGTAAACATGATTTTTAATGACTGTATAATATTCCATCAAGGCAGTAGCTCAGAGACCAATGCAGTGCTAATGTTTGTCTTCAGCCTGGGGTTCATTTTCTCACTAATCTAAATATCTAAATTAGAGAATGAGATCCTGAAACGGAGAGCCTGTCTCCTTCTCACAACAAAGAGGGTCCCAGGGAAGATGCTCCCTGCTCTGAGCTGTCCTCCCATGAGCCTCAGTCCCCACCCCACCCCCCATGCCTCCTCCACGGACTGGCATATTGGGGGGCCCAGTGGCTGATATGGGGCCCGATGGTGGTGCTTCGGAAAGCCGTCCTCTCACATGTCAGAAGGCCAGACACGTGGTGGCACTGAGCCTACACTGAGGACACAGCTGGTATTCAGCACATGCCCATAAATGTTGCAGTTTATTAACAATCCAACGGCCTGGGGGACTTCACATCTCACAGCACAGAACACTTTCCTTTATGATAGTTCAGGTGGACTGGGTGGTCGCAGAGGGTGGCAGCTGGTGGGGGCGGGGGGGCACTGGATTGGGTGTTCCTGGGGGCAGGAGTTTACCCATAGTGCCCGCATCTCCCAGGTGGCCCTGGGTGTGGCCTTGTGGCTCAGGCAGCAGGAGTAGTGCTCAGGGGACGGGCCCCCAGGGCAGCAGCCCACGCCAGGCCATGCTCATCCCCCTGCTCTGCTTCTCCCCAGGCTCCCGGCATCTCCAAAGCGGATAGTCAGTCCCAGGGACTCACGACCAGCATCCGGTGGGGGCAGACGCCCATCAATCAGTCCACGCCCTGGGACACTGATGAGCCGCCCTCCAAACAGATGAGGGAGAGCGACAATCCAGGTGTGTACTTGGCCGGCAGCCAGAGACTCCCACGTGGAGGCTGGGAGCGGGGTTTGGAGGCTTCCTGGATGTTGTAACTCCTCAGCAGGCCCTGGCCCATGGGCCTGCGGCAGCCCACACCTGCATGGGGGCCGGGACGCTGTACAGCCTGGGCAGTAGCTGCGTCTCTACCGCTTTCTCTGCTACTCGAGAAAGCTTTGGGGAGGCTGAGGAAGTAAGACTGACATCCCAGGAGCGACTTTGAATCTGCTTTGTGTTATTTTGAATAGTCATTCCCAAACCTCAGGACTCTGATTCACCCACTTCTCCAGTCACACCTTCCAGGGAGGCTTTGCCTTGCCAACGGTTACATGAGAAGTGGGATGCTCCACCCCCCTGGGGCCGGGGGCTCCCCACCTCCTACGTCCCCCCAAGCCTTCTTTGGTCAGCCCTGACCATGACAAAAGCCTTCCCTGTTGTCTCCCAGTGGTCCCAGACCTCCCCTTAGGATACACAGGACACATCCGTGTTCACACCACAGCCCTACAGATATCTGACACCCACCCATCCCCCCTCCAAGTCTTCTGCGGGATAAACACCCTTGGCCCTTCAGCCACACTCCAGAGCCCGTGGCGGACAGTTCCTTTGCCCTCCAGAGAATGACCTCTCCCTCTGCCTCCATCGGTGCCAGAGCCCCACACAAAGAACCCACACGTGCTATGACCTGCACCCCTTCATTCAGCCCCTCCACTTTGACCACTGCAGTCTTAGATCACCTCTGATTTGCTGCTAGCCACAGACATGCGCTGTCACCAGTCAGACCCCAAGACTGTCGAGGCAGTAACCCTGACCCCTGTCCATCTTCTCTCAGTCTACCTTAGGCAGAGGGGTGTTGGGGACCCAAGGGCAAGTCCCTGTCAGTATCTTCCCCTATGATTCTTGATTCCAGCTTTTATTGCTGACCTGTGCCTAACCCTCCCAGTATGCCACCTGCAGAGTTGGCGGTGATATCTTCCCTATCATCACCCAAATCATTGGTAAAAGTGATGAGCAGGACTCGGTCCACATCACTAGAGACCTCCTTCCGGTCCCCAGCATCCTCTGAGCCAATCACCCGCTCATAAGTCACTCACCACCATGGCCCGGCATCTCGTACCTTCACCAGAGTTATCAGAGAAGTCACGAGCTGTGTTCCGAAGCTCTGGTGGCTCGTTCCAGGCTCCGTGGCTGATCCTGGAGAGAAGTGGCCTTAGGACGGCATGCCTTGTCCTTAAGACAGCAGCCTAGCTCACAGTGATACCATCTCTTCTTCAGGCTTGGGGACAACCCCCCTTAGCAGCCTGTTCTAGAATCTTGCTGGCACTGCTTCACCAACATTTTCCAGCTTCTAGTTTCCTGTCAGAGAGCTCCCAGCTCCCCTTCTAGCCTCTGGAACTAGGGGTCCTGAGTGGTTCCCTGTCCCCCACTCTCTTCCTCAGACTCCCTGCCCCCAGTCTACACTGCCACTCCAGTGGCATCCTGAAAACCAAGGTGGCATTTGGGTGATGGAGACCTAACCCCACACTCATTCGGTCAGAGGTGACCCAGACTGCCCTCCCTTGTCACAGTATTTTCTGGCTTCACTCACAAGCCCACTTGGGTCACCTCAATGTCTGCTCAGCTCAGGGGAACCTGGCCCTGCTCTGCCAGACCTGGGCACAGCTGGTGTCGAATCTTGTATCAAGTCTCAGGACGTGTGTCTGGACCCCCTTGTTCAGTCAAAATATCTTTAAGGGCCAAAATGCATTTCTGTTGTTTCCCCCAGGGTTGGCCACGCAGAGGCTGCTTAGGAGAAAGCCTGGTCCCCCAGCAAAGCAGTGGAAAACAGCCGCTGCCAGCCTTCCCCCACTGCCCGCCTTCCCCCACTGCCCCCACCTCCTGCTCCCCCTTCCTGCACCACAGGGCTCTTGCACAGCTCCAGGCTCTGGTGTTCTCGCCTTGCCCAGGAAACACCTACTATCTTCACAATCTAGCTTTCTCCCCACCTCCTCCAGACAGCTATTCTCCAGAAAGGAAGGAAAAACACCAACATTTATGGAACATTTAACACATACCAGCCACTCTGCTAGTTTTTTTTCCCCCAAATACATTTCCCTCATTCAATTTTTCCCAGGAGACCTCTGAGGTAGGTGTTGCTGGTTCCATTTGACAGATGGGGAGAATGAGGCTCAGAGAAGAAAAGCAACTTGCCCAGGGCTCCTGGCTAATGAATGGCAGAGCCAAGATTTGAACCGAGAATTCTTTGAAGGACTCTGCTTTTTTCTCTCTGTGTTTTTGCCTCTGTGTAGATCGTGCTCCCCCTCTGAGCCTCCACGACCATCTGCTCATGTACCCCCATGCTACCGTAATCACAGATTTTTCATCTGGGGGGTCCTGGATGCAGGTGTCTTGTCCACCTCGGTGACCTTAGCACCCAGCCCAGGGCCTGGGACAGTCGGTGTTTATTGAGTGAATGTGTATCCGGCAGATGACCTCTCTTCTGTCTCCCTTGCAGGCACAGGGCCATGGGTGACCACGGTGGCCGCCGGGAACCAGCCTGCCCTGATCGCACACTCCTATGGAGTGGCCCAGCCTCCTACCTTCAGCCCGGCTGTGAACGTCCAGGCCCCAGTCATTGGGGTGACCCCCTCACTGCCTCCCCACGTGGGGCCCCAGCTCCCGCTGATGCCAGGCCACTACTCGCTCCCACAGCCACCCTCTCAGCCACTGAGTAGCGTGGTGGTCAACATGCCGGCCCAGGCCCTGTACGCCAGCCCACAGCCCCTGGCCATGTCCACACTGCCTGGCGTGGGGCAGGTGGCCCGTCCGGGACCCACTGCCGTGGGCAACGGCCACATGGCAGGGCCCCTGCTGCCTCCACCAGCACCAGCCCAGCCGTCTGCCACCCTCCCCAGCGGTGCCCCTGCCACCAATGGGCCCCCCACGACTGACTCGGCCCATGGGCTGCAGATGCTACGGACAATTGGCGTGGGGAAGTATGAGTTCACCGACCCTGGGCACCCCAAAGGTAAGTCCCGCTGCTCACATGCTCCCGTGTGCCCACACCTGTGCCTCCCTGAGTGGTCACCACGACACAGCACAGACAGGAGTGTGTTCCTGGCATCCTGAGCTCTCCAGCAGCTCCCTCACTGGCCTCACCCAACCCAGAAGCAGTAGTGGGGCCTCCCCTTGCCCAAGACAGCCCGGCCTCAGACAGTGGAGGCAGAGGGGAAAGTGGAGGAGGGAAGGACAAGCTAGGCGAGGACATGTGGGCGGGCAAGGAGAGGGAGGGAGGGGAGAGCCTGCCAGGTCCAGGGTCCTTCTGCCTCTAGCCCAAGCCTTAGGCCATTCTCACCTCTCACCCCAAAGCCAGGCCAAGTGTGGAATGAGCAGGAATCATCTGCTCCTCTTAGGGCTCCATGGAACAGTCTTTTGTGGGGCCTTTTCCATTTTCCACCCATGAGAACAGTCAGGACATGAACTGTGTCCTTCCCTAGAAAGGCGCCCTGTGCTGTGCCATTGGAGGAGAGCAGCTCCCCAGATGTTAGGTGAAAGGAATGTCTCCCCAAGAGACACTCACAGACCATCCTGAGCCACTTGGATTATTTTGTTTCAAGGACTCAAGGGCGGCTCTGCGAGGGTCCGGGAAAGAGCACCTCCTGTTTTCAAGGCAGATCCTTGAGAACGGAGCCTGCAGATGAGCCCCCAGACATAGGGTTACGACAAAGAGCATCGCTCCTGACGTCTGACCGAGGGATCTATCTATCCAGCCAGAATGCGGAAGGGGGCAGGAGGACCGGGGGCCACAGATGTTAGGCTGGTGGGGTGCATCTGCCCCAGACTTGCTCGCTATCCCTTAGAGCTCCAGACAGCCAGGCCCCTCTCTTGCCGAGTGGGAAGGGGAGGCAGCCAGGCCTGGACCCAGTTGCAGGCAAGAGGGCATATGGTGGGCAGTCTCCCTGCTGGGGCACACAGGCCTCTTAGGGGACAGTAGATGGTTCTAGGAAGTGTGGACCTTTGGGCACAACCTCTCATTCTCCTTGCTAACAGCTCCTGGAGGTAGCCTGGCAGGGGTCCCTGCCTCTTCGCGGAGAACGAGTCCCACTAGCCCTTCTTTCCTGCCTGCTCTCATGCATCTCTCTCTTTATCCTTTTGAGCAATTTTCAGACCTCGTCAAGCATCCCAACAACAAAGCCGTGTCTAGATCTCCATTGGGTTTAATTCCCAAACTGATTGCGCCCCAACTGCCTTTGTTTTGGAAATTAGCACTAGTTTTAAATGACAAAATTATAGAAAATTACATCTAAATTCTGGTAAACCCTTGCTTTGTTTAAGATGTTTTAAAAAAAAAAATTGACTAAATTGATTTTTTGTTTGAATTGTTTTGGTTAAGCTCTCTCTCCCTTTAAAAAGAAAAAAAAAAAACTTACTCCCAGTTTGTATGCTTCCAGCTCTGATACATTGAGAACTGGGTATCCTAGCTGCTCCTGCCAAAGCCTAAGGCACTGGGTGGGCTTCCCTCCCCCAACCACGGGGGCATTGCCACCACCCCCAGAGGCCTCCTAGGGCTGATGAAAGGTCTTGGCAATTTGCCAAGTTTCAGACAATGCATCCAAGAAAAGGACTTATTCTAGGCTGAAAGGTAACTGGCCCCGTTGGGTCTGAAGTCCACGGTTTGGGGCTCAGCACAGAACTGGGATCTGCCTCCCCAAAGTTGTCAGGCACAGGTGCATCCATCATCAGGCACCTGAACCCATAAGATCAGGAAGTTACAGGTGGTAGAGACAGGCCCCCGCTGGCCCCTGTGCACACTGGGCCAGCTGGCCATTTGCAGAACCACACCTGTAACATCTTTTTGGGGCCAGAGGGCATGAAGCATCCTCTGTGGCAAGCCCAAGCCCACAGACAGGAAGGAAGAAGAGAGACAGCCCCCGATGGGGTTCGCTCTGCCAGCCCCTCTAGGGGGGATTCAGTGCTAGGTGAGAGCCAGGCGTGGGGTAATCCTAGCAGGTGTCCACAGCCCTGCCTTCCGGTAGACCAGTGAGACCCGCCTCGCCCACCCCGGCTCCAGCCGACAACAACCGGTGACCCATCTGTCACGCTGATTTCCATAGTTCACCAGTGAGATGGTGGTTTCCCCAGAAATTACATTCAACTCACTTCTCTATTTACGGCCCTCATCAGCTGACTTATCCCCTTATATCTGTGGCGAAGAAAGACAATGAAGCATGAACATACAAATGTCTCCAAACTCAAGCCTGGGTGGGTTGTTGTGTTTTTTTTGTTGTTTTTTTTTAAGTAATTTCTCTTTTCATTTCTAATCTTAAAAGCCTTTATTGCTAAAGCTATAATTTGTCTGTCAGATCTAATGTCAAACAACTGCATATTTTTTAAAATAAGAAACCAGAATTTTGAAACCAAATCTTTGAAACTTGGCCATGTGAGAATCATATTCCTGACAAGACCATGTGGGTTTGGATTTGGGTCACTTTTAATTTTGCCCCTAGGGATTTTACATCTCCAAAACTCAATTGATTTCACACTCCTAAATGACAGACAGCTGGCTCCAAGTGGGAACCAGGAGGCACTGCATGATGACATCAACACTAGTCAGAGCTCCACTTAAGAAAAAAAAAAAAAAAAAGAACTTTCCTTTTCTCCTGTTCTCTGTTTGAAAGCTTGCCCAGCATTATAATAAGATTCACCATGGAGCTCCTTGAGATCTAGCTCATTAAAGTCCCACGATTTTTCCTCTATTGTTTGACATGACAACCTGGCCTCTCACGGGGTTGGGTAATTATGGAGAGATCCCCTCCATGAGGAACAGGTCTCGCCAGCCAGAGGGATGGGCCACCGGTATTTTTAGACTTCATTAGTGCCCTGATTTAAAATTTCACATTTTGTTTCTTATAATTATCTTCCAATCGACTGAGCTGAAATTTCTGTTGGGGCTATGTTAGTCTGCCTTCCCAAAAAGGGCGTTGGGACTTTAATTTAAAACTTAACCAATTGAAAAATAAAGGTGGTGCAGAAATGCTTTTTGATTTGCAATAGGTCAAGCGATTGTCTCTCATCTGTGACTAGAGAAGCCAGCTTGCATGCAGTTCACGTTAATGAGTGTTATTTAAATGCATTGAGCACATATAGATTTTCTTAGGAAACTTATAAGATAAATCTTTCTTTCTCTAAGAACAATTTGTGGGTGGGAACAATCCATAGGATTTCATTCTTTAAAAAAAAAAAGATTATGTATTGAAAACTAATTAAAATAGATTTCATGTGTGCAAAGTGATAAGGGAGGAAAAAAGAATTAGTTCCATTTGAATTCTGTTATAAAATACCTGAGGCCTTGTCTTGTTGGATTGGAAACCATGAACCAATCCAAAGGCAGAGCTGGTGGCCGACGCCAGGCCTTGTGAGATGAGCGAAGTCTGATGTCACTGCACGTGAGCCCAGCTGTGTCAGAGCACAGGTGCAATCTATTGGTGTCATTTTTTTCCATCCCCTATCTTTTTCCACAAAGGGTTCTTGGTGGCTAACAGGGTAGCCAGAGACCTTTTAAAGCCCCAGACTAGCGGTGAGCTGAGCTGCAGAAAGGTGATCATATTTCTTACCTGCATGTCCAAGGAGAGAGAAGCAAGGTTGCACCTGTTCTTACCTGCTTCTGAACCAAAAAACAAAATCCAGGTTGACCTGAAATGGTGAGGCTTGTCTCGTCTGACCTTCGATTTTGTAGGCCTAGGGTGAGGGGCCACGAGGGTTCCCAAGGCCAGGCAGCTATGTTGTGGGGTGTGCACAGCCCCTTCCTGTGGTTTCACACCTCTTCCCTTCTCATCCTTGCCCCTGAGCCCCCACTCTGTGGAGCTCTGTCTCTATGCTGCCCTCTGCTTGGACAGCAGCCACCCTGTCTCCATGAGTAGCAAAGACAGGATCTGGTAAAGATACTTTGAGGCATAGTGTACAACTGTGTGATGGGGACAAGTCTCCTAACCTCTCTGAGCCTCCTTTTCCTCATCTTTAAAATCGGATGGGAGTACCATCTTCACCAGATATAGAGGAAGACTGAATGAGATCGTGGACATGAACATATATCGTACTTTGCCCTCTTCACTCTGAAAACCATTGAGCCCGGGTCTAGAGAGAAGCTAGTGAAGGGCTGGGAATCAGAGCCCCCTCCCCAGTGCAGAGGAGATGGGAGAAACCCAAGCTTGTTCATACGGTTGGCAGCCCCTGGTGAAGCAGCTCCGTGGGACCACAGTGTCCCCATTCCTGAAAGGGAGTGGAAGCGTCACCTTCCTGGCAGGAGGATTCTGGCCTGCTCTCCCCAGGGTAGAGCCCAGCACAGACCCTACCCTCTGACATGCCAGGGCACACTGCTCAGTACACATTCTAGAAGCAGCTGGGAATTCATGATAAAGCTGTTTGCCCACGCATGGTTAGCACAGAGGCACAAAATGTCCAAACTGAAATCATCTTCCCACAGGCCTGCTCTTCCTGTGCCTCTGTCTCAGAAATGACATCATGAGTCCATCCAGCAGTTCAAAGTCAAAGCCCATGGTTGTCCTTGACCTGCCCTTAACCCCCTTATGCACCGAGTCTAAAAACACCTTTGATTCTGCCGCCTCTGCATCTATCGTCTCTCTATCCCCACCACCACTCCCCTTTCAGGCCACCATCACCTCCGGTTGCACTGGTGGCCTCCCGGCCCCAAGTGCATCCCCTCCCAGCCAGGTCCAAGGTCCAGCCAGCGTGGTCTTTGCAAAACGCAAGTCTGGTCCTGTCACTCCCCGCCAAACGCCTCCAACAGCCCCTGCTCCTTTCAGGACAGTGCCCGACCCTTCACTTTGTGCCTCAGGGTCCAGCCCCTCGCCGCCTCTACCTTCCTCTCTGCCGTTCCGCTCACAGGCTGCCCCGAAGTCACTCTCAGCCCAGGGTTGTCTCCCTTCCAGCTGTGCTCTGGGCTTGGCCGCGTGCCTGCAACAGTTACCCTGCTCCTGCATCATTCTGCCAGCTAGACTGCCAGGCACT